TTTATTCAGAAACATCTTTCTGCAGAGACCTACAAAAAAAGTACAGATGCAATATTAATGTGCACTCAAAATCCAAGCATTTAGCACAAATCCAAACAGAGAACAAAAAGGGCTGGTTTTAACTTTAAAAATTAGTGTTTCTTGGAAGTGACGGATCTTCCAAGACAGAAACACTGTCAGGGATTACATAGAGCAGACCAGCCACAGAGACATGGGAGTTAAAAATAATAACCTTGTTTTTCACATAAAGAATAAGAAAACTGTCAGAAATTTTAAGCTCAAGCACGTCAATAAAACACACGTCACCTCAGGCCTTAACACAGGGATTTCAAAAACCAACCTAAGTACTGAGTGTAACCGGAGGAAGAGTTAATCGGTGACGGATCAGGCCACTGAAAACCCAGGACAAAAATATACAATCAGAAACCCTGACACTGTTAAAACAAACTCTGATTGGAATTGTGCTAAATGGTGGCGTATAACTGATCACACTGGAAGAAATAAAAATGTAATAAACTATCAATTGCTGTGCAATTTTAAAAGGTGTGATGCAGTCTGAGATAAGTTAAGACAACTGGTAACACAGAGGAAAAATACATTAATCTGCTGTGTATTATCAAATAATTCAATTACAGCTGGGTTAAGAAATAAAGTAAAAGTGGTCAATATATTCTAATGTCAATACATATTTATTTATTTATTTTATTAACTGCATTGTACATATAAAGCTTAAACGGTACATAATAAAAAAAAAAGAGTTCACAGTTTTTGTTTTAAGGACATCCTCTTACACACATAGAATAAAGGTAAAACATATCCCTACAAGATTTTTAACTAAGTTTGTTTCTGACAGGAAATGAGACAGTCATCTCTTAAAATATAAGAGAACATGAGAAGAAACATCAGCTTAGATTTTTAGGTTTTAGAATACTTTTTTTTAATGGCTTGTCTTTATTGTCAGTGAGGCAATCAATCTCTCATAATTAAGGACCGGCTTTTTGCATGCCTTTACTTTTTCCTCATGATTTATCATTTGTAATGAGCTCCAAGTCTTTGAGGTCAGAAAGTCTTCTCGCCATCACCCTAATTTTTGGCTCTCTTCACAGATTCTATTTCAGACGCTAGTCAGTACTTTGGCTAGGCCACTCCATCACATTAATATTACATCCAGGCAGAAGAAACTCAATTCAAGTCCAGTTTATTTGTATAGGACATTTTAGCAACTAGACCATTTCAAAGTGCTTTCCGGAAAAAAAAAAAAAAAAAAAAAAAGGAAAAAACAATTTTTTTTGGAAATTAAAAAATAAAAAAAAAAAAAAAATTTTTATTTTTTTAAAAT